TTGAGTGACATTGAAACGAGGTTTGATTTGCTGTTGAAGAGAACTGAAATTCTTATTTTAACCGCAACTGCAGTAAGTTTGAAAATTCTCTGTGATTTGGTCGACGAAGATGGTTTTGAATGCTTAATGAAATTGACACTAGACTACTTGACTGAATTGGAATACCTCATCAATACAACAGATGGGGTTCCCCAGAGTGCTTTTCCTGTGAGTGTCTGTATCTTCGTAATCTATATAATTTCAAAGGGATTACTAGCCATGAATGTCATGAATACCGACTACCGAACACGGCTTTCCGTGCATTGAAAGAGTTGGTACTATATTTCTTGCCTGAATTGACAAATATGTGGAAGGGTCCCACCCAACTTGTATGGCTCGGCAACCTGACGTCTGTAGATGTGTTCTGGTGTCATAAACTACAAACTACGTTCTCACTTTCCATAGCTAGAGATCTAAGGAAACTGCAGGACGTTCGGATAACTCACTGTGGCATGATGAAAGCAATTGTTTCAAGTGAAAAATGATTTATATTTACGAAAATTATAAAAATTATATAATTAATTATTATAAATTATTATTATATATAAAAATTATATTATTTCAATGCTTGAGTGTTGTGGGTGTGGCCATTGGTGTGTGTGTCATTGTGTGGGTTGGCTTTGGTTGGTAGTAGAAACGCCATTTCAAATGGCATTTAAAAAAAAAAAAAAAAAAAATACGCCAATTTGTTCCATATGTAGCATTTGAGCATAATGTCACACCCCTTGTAATTGTAATAGAACTTCATCCTAACATTCGTAATTTGATATTGGTTTAATAATTTTCTGCCTCATTACTTTTCCTCCAACAAGGCTAGAGTAGCTTCTGTTTTCTTCCATCGCCAAAACATCACTTGACGTTCACTGTTTGGCGGGGTTGATAACATTTTAGTCACTGAAATATGTACTTCCTTTTTGAGTACGAATTGTTGAGTTGCCAAAAAAAAAATGGCCTTATATTTTATCACAAAATTGTAATTTCTCCACAACCTGTCTATATTCCATGCAACTTGTAGTATGTATATAAACAAAACAATACATACTTTATCAATCATTCCACAATCCAAATTACTTTCATCCATCCAAAAATAAATAACTGTAAATGTACATATTCCATACAAACCAACTATTGTCCAAACTAAAATTATACTCCACACAAAATAAAGAAGCATACAAAAATCCAACCGTCCATATACAAAAAAATATATTTAGTATCATGTGAAATATCCATTTGGCGTGATGACAAAAGGTGATCTATATGCCACGCCAGTAATTATCAGTTGGATTGCAAAAGTTATCTGATGCAAAAGTTATCTGACAAAAGCTGTTTGTCACATCCGTACGGTGGTTCGGGGGCCGATTCACATTTTCGCCTTCCTTAATGCCCATTTTCGGTTAAATTTAAAACGTTTTCGGCTCTAACTCCCAACCTACATGTGCTAATTACATTCCGTTTGTTGTCACAGGTCCTATTTGTCGCGAGGAAGCTGGTTGTGACATCCGTACGGTGATTCGGGGGTTGTTTTGCATTTTCGCCCTGTCAACGCTCTTTTTCGGTTAAGTTTAAGGCATTTTCGGCTCTAACTCACAACCTACACGTGCTAATGAAAGTCCGTCTGTTGTCAATGGTCCTATTTGTCGTGAGGATGCTGGTTGTGACATTCGTATGGTAGTTCGGGGGCCGATTTGCATTTTCGCCCCCTTTGGGCCATTTTTCGGTTAAGTTAAAGGCGTTTTCGGCTCTAACTCCCAATCTACACGTGCTAATTACATTTCGTCTATTGTCACAGGTCTTTTTTGTCATGGGAAAGCTGGTTGTGATATCCGTACGATGGTTCAGGGGCTGTTTTGCATTTTCGCCTCCTTAACGCCCTTTTTCGGTTAAGTTAAAGGCGTTTTCGGCTCTAACTCCCAACCTACACGTGCTAATTACATTATGTCTGTTGTCACAGGTCCTATTTGTCATGGGGAAGATTGTTGTGATATTTGTACGGTGGTTCGGGGGTTGTTTTGCATTTTCGTCTCCTTAACGCCATTTTTTGGTTAAGTTAAAGGCGTTTTCGGCAATAACTCCCAACCTATACGTGCTAATTACATTCTGTCTGTTGTCATAGGTCCTATTTTTCATGGGGAAGCTGGTTGTGATATCCGTACGGTGGTTCGGGGGTTGTTTTGCATTTTCACCTCCTTAACGTCATTTTTCGGTTAAGTTACAGGCGTTTTCAGCTCTAACTCCCAACCTACATGTGCTAATTACATTTTTCCTATTGTCACAGGTCATATTTTCCATGGGGAAGATGGTTGTGACATCCGTACGGTGGTTCGGAGGCTGTTTTGCATTTTCGCCTCCTTAATGCCCTTTTTTCGGTTAAGTTAAAGGCGTTTTCGGCTATTAGTCCCAGCATACACGTGCTAATGACATTTCGCCTATTGTCACAGGTCCTATTTGTCATAGGGAATCTGGTTGTGATATCCGTACGGTGGTTCGGGGACTGTTTTGCATTTTCGCCTCCTTAACGTCATTTTCCAGTTAAGTTAAAGGCGTTTTCGGCTCTAACTCCCAACCTACACGTGCTAATTACATTCCGTTTGTTGTCACAGGTCTTGTTTGTCATGGGAAAGCTGGTTATGATATCCGTACGGTGGTTCGGGGGCTGTTTTGCATTTTCGCCTCCTTAACGCCCTTTTTCAATTAAGTTAAAGGCGTTTTCGGCTCTAACTCCCAACCTACACGTGATAATTACATTCCGTCTGTTGTTATAGGTCCTATTTGTCATGGAGAAACTGGTTGTGATATTTGTACGGTGGTTCGGGGGCTGTTTTGCATTTTCGTCTCCTTAACGCCATTTTTTGGTTAAGTTAAAGGCGTTTTCGACTCTAACTCCCAACCTACACATGCTAATTACATTCCGTTTGTTGTCACAGGTCCTATTTGTCGTGAGGAAGCTGGTTGTGACATCCGTACGGTGGTTTGGGGCTGTTTTGCATTTTAGCCTCCTTAACACCATTTTTCGGTTAAGTTAAAGGCATTTTCGGCTCTAACTCCCAGCCTACATGTGCTAATTACATTCCGTTTGTTGTCACAGGTCCTATTTTTCATGGGGAAGCTGGTTGTGATAAACGTACAGTGGTTCGGGGGCTGTTTGGCATTTTCGCCTCCTTAACGCCCTTTTTCGGTTAAGTTAAAGGCGTTTTCTGCTATAACTCCCAACCTACACGTGCTAATTACATTCCATCTGCTGTCACAGGTCCTATTTGTCATATAGAAGCTGGTTGTGATATCTGTACGGTAGTTCGGGGGCTGTTTTGCATTTTCGCCTCCTTAACGCCCTTTTTCGGTTAAGTTAAAGGCATTTTCGACTCTAACTCCCAACCTACACGTGTTAATTACATTTTGTCTGTTGTCACAGGTTCTATTTGTCATGAGAAAGTTGGTTGTGACATCCGTACGGTGGTTCGGGGGCTGTTTTGCATTTTCGCCTCCTTAACGCCCTTGTTTGAATAAATTTTAATAAAGAAACCTACATAGGATTGACTCTAGGCATCTGATTCCTTTAATTTAACCTGATATCCAAGTACATTACAAAATATTCCTATTTCTTAACAAATTTCATTTATTTTCTAGAATTGAATGGTGTGCACAATATGCTGTAAAATTTAATATATAAAGAGAAATAGAGAATTGTATTATTGATTGATTTATATTGATATCAATTACAATGATTCATGATTCCTATATATAGAAGAGGGTGAGTGTGTAGTAGGTAAGGAGTAGGTGAAGTGGAGGTGGTAGTGGTGTAGTGGGTTAGGTTTAGTGGAGTAGGTGAGGTGGTAGTGGTGTAGTGGGTTAGGTTTAGTGGAGTAGGTTTAAGTGGGTGAAGTAGGTGGAGAGTAGGTGGATTTTAACATATGCCATAAAGCATTTTATTCATATTTTCTGTATAATTTTACGATTAACTCGAATTGGTAAGTATGTTTGTAGGTGAATGTCTAATTACATGCATCATATAGGGCATATGAACACATTTTATTCGATAACCTGTTTGAATATCCTAGTTTTGGTATAGGGACTTGCATAGCTTAATTATATAGCTTAGCTACACAGTTTTTTGGGCAGGTTTTAGTTGTATGTTGTGGTTGTGTATGTAACTTAGCTACACACTTTTTTTGAGCAGGTTCTAGCTGTGTAATTTAATTTATCCGGCCAGGTGTTCTTGCTGTTGGTTGGTAGCTGTGTATATAGATTTTGATGGGTTAGAGCATGGGGCATGCCCCTTGTAATCTTGTAAATTTTGTCTTTAATTTATGACTTATTCACCACCCCCCCCCCAAAAAAAAAGAGAATTAAATGTATCACACAAAACCATTGTTGAAGAACAATCAGGTATTAAAACATGCAAGATTGATTGATCATTTTCTTTCCTATGAATAGAACTTTTGAGTCCACAAGCTTCCACATATCAAATTCACTTCATAAGGACAAGTTTAATCAAAATCTGAGTTTATAACATTGAATGTGGGTAACAAATTTCCTAATAAGAGAATATGTACAATAAGGTACTAGATATAGTATTTAAAATTTGTACATCACATATAGAAGGATACGGATGCGGTGGAGATAAGGGAAAAAATTACATTTTTTCTATATTTATATTTGCAATGTAAATGACTATTACATCCATAAACAATTAAAAATATTCTTATGTGCTATGTATAGCATATCAGCTACTAATGTTACATAACAAAGACTAAAAGCATCACTAGAAGTTGTAGAAGGGGAGTGGAAATACCTGTGGAAACTGATAATTTCGAAGCCTTGAAACATCAGCAATCCGCTTTACTGTACAACTCCCCAGGTTAGATGAACATTCATGCCAAAGGAATGCATTAGAGACTTGCAAGCTCAATCAACCAACAAATATTTTCAACATTTCAATGGTCACTTGGTAATTAATAATGTGCCCAGACCTGATCACGGAATACAGTAAGGCCTTCTTTAAGACTAAACTATAACCACTCTTGACATGTCACTCTGCAAAAAAAAAGAAGAAGCGTCAACCAAAAGAGAAAGATTAGAAGAAAAAAAAAGTTATACAAAAGAGTAACAAGATTTTAATAATTGAGCTAGAGTAGCAATGTAAGCTAACCTATTACCAGTCCAGTTGTGAAAATACTACAATATACACAAGAAATAAGACCCAAATTAATACAAATTAAAATATATATATATATATATATCCAAGTTGCTTCTTTTGAGATAAATGATACACCTCATGGCCAATAACTCCTAAAATTGTAGCATAATCTGCATCTGTAGCAATTTCTGGAGATGCCAAAACAAGCTTGGAATTGAATATCTGTCAACAACCAAGTCAAACAAACTTCAATCAAATGAAATGCATGGTAGATGGAAATAAAGAGTCAAAAAAAAAAATTTCACGAAGCATACATTCAAGCTCTTGTTTTCCATTGCTCCCTTGAAACCAATGCATGAAATAATTAGTAATTTAAAAGGGGAAAATCACAAAGCACATCAAATATTAAGGAAAACGATATACGTGAGAAGCATTGAATATGTTAAGACTTAAATGTTAAAATCTGGAACAACAACAATATTGAAGAGATCCAAGTCATACTGATAACCAATAGAGAGAAAACATAACCCATTAAGCAGCAATTTAACTTGAAATTCAGTAACTAATATGATGATCTGACAATGATTGATGATGATGACTGAAGTGACAAAATTCTGTTATTTTCTAACAAGTAAACAATGAAAGATTATATGACAAATACACCCTTCAATCCCAGATAGCAAAATTTATATCCAGTCAAAAGTTAGCCAATATAAAATTAATCCTAAAGAATGGCAATAGAAGAGTTACATTGAGATGCATCTCCTAAAGTAGGAAAACATACATCCGTCTCAAGACTATTCTCTGCTTTAACAATAGCAGCACCAACAGTGGCCCCCAGAAGGCATACGTGCAACCTTTTGAGCCCTGACATGAGTTTATATATTGTCATATGATCCAAACTGTTTTTGACTTTCATTTCTAGCAGACATTGAGTTCAGTGAACTGTAATTGGAACCAGTCTGCTGATATGGTAAGGGGGAAGGACCCGAACAAGACATTGACTTTCATTTTTTTAGATACAAAAGTGCCAAAATGAGTAAATTTATAAAGCAACGTCATTAATGTGAGAAGCCATAGGTGTAGAGAATCTGCTTCTTATAGAGGGCAATTAAATATTTAGGACAAAAAAAGGCAAGATGAAATAATACTTGGAGGAGAATAAAGATATACGTTAACTTTACCAAAAACATTATTAAAATATTGTTGATTTTGAAAATTTTACTAGAGTTGTCTTGACCCCAACCTATTTCACAATCTAGACCTATTCTTCCCAAGTCACACACCTTATAAGAAATAGGTGATAAAGTAGAAAATTCAATTATAAGCCTGGACTTGGAATGGAGGCTCCGAAAGCCTTCATTTGAAATGGAGGCTCTATAATAGTAAGCCTCCACTGTAAAAGAAGGTTTTTGCCATTGCAAATTTTATAATAACTACAATACATTAAAAAAATAATTGGCCTTTATATAAAAATCCATTTTGAAAAGTTACATGATTGATATTCAAAGTTTCTTGAATTGTGATTATCTACAGAATATATACTTGTGTCCTACCTTTTATTATACAGGAATGTTCAAATGAGTTTTCAGAGCTAGTGGTTACATAATTTTTGTATGATGTCATTCACACCTTATAACTGGACACTTAACATTTTCCATTTCCTTTCATCTCAAAATTTATTTGTATCACTCTAGAACGACTGAAATAAACAGAGAGAGAGAGAGAGAGAGAGAGAGAGAGAGAGAGAGAATAATGAAAGGTAAATGTAAAAGAAAACTTGAATTTCTACAGCATCAGAAATACAAGAAATACTTGAGATTGAAAGGTAAATGCAAAAGAATCTAATTGCTACAATATATATATATATATATATATACATAGCATCAAGTAAAGCAATTTTGTTAGTGACATTTTAAAACAAAGACACTTGTGTTTTAAATCACAATTGCTCCTCAAAAATTGAAGTTTGTTCCTAAATAATAATAATAATCCCAATAGAGAAGAGGGCAAGATGCACCTAGCCTTAACCCCATTTATGGAAATGTTGTTTCTGTAACAGGTAGGTATATAGATATATAGAGATTGACATACAGAAAAAGAGGGTTCTTACTTCTAACCAGCGAGATATGGCCACAACGCTGGCAATCAAAGAGAGAGCCAGCTCCTAAACCCCCCAAAGCAGGACACATAACCGCAGGGATGCCAAAATTTTCCTTGATAAACTTAAATGCCTCACTGAACCCAAATTTTTCCCCCAACAAAAACAAAGACAACTGCAAAATTAGCTAGGCAATCTACCAATGCAACTCCAAATTTATTGCAATTTGAAGAAATTAAACCAAAAACAAGCTAAGCATGAAAGTAAACTAAATAATCATATAAATCCTTGAGCAAGAGTGAGAAATGGGGAAATAGAGGAAGGGAGAGGAGAGAGAGAGAGAGAGACAGCGAGTGAGCAAGCGACCAAGAGAGAGAGAGAGAGAGGGAGAGAACCTACCTATTTGTATTGCGGCAGTGGCAGTGTGATTTGCAGTGGTGGCAGTGGCGACTTACGGTGAGCAATGGTGGTGAGTGACTGCAGCGAGGTGAGGTTTGGTGGTGACTGGTTCTGTGTATGTGTGTGTGTGTGAGAGAGAGAGAGAGAGAGAGAGAGAGAGGAAGAACCCTTGTTTTCAAAAATACTGAAAACAATTGGGCGCCAATCTTTTGATGTTTCCCTCTAAAATTTTATATACCTTTGGTGACTAAACTTGTTATTTGTCGCCAAAAGTTAATTTATAATGACTAATTTATTTAGTAGCCAAACATTTAACTAACAGCGACTAACATTTTAGTCGCCAAGAGTAGCCATTTTGGCGACTAAACATATTTTGGTCACCGAAAAGAAATATTCACCGACCAAATTTTTCGTCACCAAAGATAAAAGTAAAATTTATACTTTTTATTTAGTGACTAAATTATTTTAGTAGGCAAAAATTACCTTACAGCAACTAAAAATTTTTTAGTCACTGAAAATAAAGGTGGTGTTTGGGAAGTGTTTTTTTTTTGTTTTTTTTTTGCTAAAAAAACACTAAAAGACAAAATTGGTTAAAAAATAAAAAAAAACAAATCTAGACAAAATGTCACATCAAACCCATAATCATTTCACTTTTCTCTCACAAACATCACATCAAATTACAAAAAAATCCAACTATCTTCCCAAACACAAAAATTTTAACCTCCTAAAATAATCAAAAACTAAAAAAACCTACTAAAATAACAACTTCCCAAATACCCACAAATATTTGCCGACCAAAACTTTGGTCGCCAAAGTTTAATAGCAAACATCATGCTAACTTTTTGGCGACTAAATTTATTTTAGTAGCCAAAAACTGGTATACCACGACTAACAAAAATTTTAGTAGCCTAAAATATGATCTAATGTTGACTAAAACAATTATTAGTCGCCTATTGTGGCATATTTAGTGACTAATTTTTTTTTAGTCGCCAATAATTAAGATACTGCTACTAAAAAAAATTAGTAGCTAAAAACGATATTCAACGGCGACCAATGTAATTTTTAGTCACCTATTCTACAACTTTTGGCGACTAAAAAAAGTTTAGTCGCCAAATTTGGTCGCCAAAAGTGTAAATTGTTGTAGTGATTCGTAATGGCCAAAAGGTGTAGTGAAAGCGGTTTTGTAGCGATTATTAGGATGAATTTGGATTTGTCAAAATTCACTGTTAAGATCGAATTTACTAAATATGACTTCTTGACTAAAATTTTTAATTAAATATTTCTTATTAGGAATTGGATATCTTATCCATTCTAAAACTTTATTTACTGGTTTATAATTAATGATTAAACATGGAACATCACGTTCAAGTTCATCATTTTTGTTAACATAAAATGTTGGACATGACCATGGTAATTTACTTTTACTAATGATTTTATTTTTAAGCAAATCATTGATTTCTTTTTTACACAATTCCATTAATTCAGTATTCATTTGGATCGGTCTGGATTTAGTAGGGATTTGTCGTTCATTAAAATTTTTAATATAAGGGAGTGTGACTGCATGTTTTTTCTTATGCCAGAAAGCACTAGGAAGAATAAAACAGATTGTTTGTTCTAAATTACTTTCAAATTTTTTAATTTTTGAAATAAAAATTGGGTTAGTTAATTGTGATGATCGGTTTGCTTTACATTTCTTCGTTTTCGTTTTCTTTGGGATTGTTGTGTCCGGACTCCTTTTCTTTAATTCTCATCTTTGTTTATTTCGGGTTGGCCTTTTTCCTTGTTTTGGAGGGTGCGCGGATGGGTCCGGAGTGCCTGGGAGTGAAAAGGGAAGTTCTGGGCTGCTGGGCCAGGGCTGCACGTGCGGGGAGTAAGGCCACACGGTTGAACTTCAGAGGGTTGCACACTACTTAAATTGTAGGTGTGAAGGAGGAGGTATGGAGGTTGCTGCACGTGCGGGGGTCATGGCCGGACGTGCGGGAGGCCTGCTCCGCACGTGCGGGGGCAAGTGTCGCACGTGCGGTCGGCCAGAGTCTGTGAAGCTCTGTTATTTTCCCCTCTTTTTGGCTGTGTGTATCATTTTCCCTATATCTCATTCTCTCTAAAAATACATCTCTCTCACTTCTCTCTACATTTCTCACCAAAAAAAAAAAAACCCTCACAAGATCTTTGATCTCTCTACACCCAAACACATTTTGATCCAAGATCCTTCATCAAAGTGGAAGAACAACTCTAGAACTACGTTGTGTACGGTAGAGATCGGAGTTCTACACCATCAAAGCTAGGGTTTCATCTCCATTCTTCATCAAACTTTGAGGTAGGGGTTTTCTTTGAGTTATATATATGTTTATGTAAGTTTTTGATTGATTTGTGAGCTCACCCTTGGTATTTCGAAAATGGGTTTTTGGTTCAAGAAATGGGTGGTTTTGTAAGGAAATCTATCCCTGGCTTTTTGAGAGTTTTAAATTTTGAAACATGGAACCATGATGTTGAGATTGATGTGTTTAGAAAGGTTTTTGAAATGGGATGAGGAAAGGTTAGGGTTTTGTGAAAAACCTAGAAATTCGGGTTTTGGGAATAATAGGGGAAATCAATGGATTTTCTTGAAATAAATGAAAGGTGAGTGAGAATTTCTTAATGTTGTTGTTACATGATAACTCAAAATGTGTAGAGGTTGGAAGCCTCACTTAACTTTTCATTGGTTAAATACATATACATATGTGATTACAAATTGCACATTGTTGGGTTCCATGATATAAGAGTATTGTTGTGAAAGGAAATTAGTGTTCTAGCAATTGCTATAGCTTTGGAATATTTAGAATGTGAAAGTATATGAATTGTAACTTCATTGTTATATAAAGAAAGATCCATGATAGCAACTTTGGACCATTTTATGAAATAATATTGAGAAGGGGAAAATGAGAAATGTGATAGTTTGGTAATGTTGTTGAAATAACTTGGAATTGGAGAACTACTATGGGGCATGGAAAAATTGTTGCATTGCATACTCATTTAATTGATAAATTGCATCTTGGAATTGGGATTGGAAACATTCACATTGTGAAAGAGTTATATATATATATATATTGTGTGGGGATATATTTTCTGAGTCTCAACACGTGGCCAAGGTGACGCCGACGTGTCAGCCGAGGTGCCACGTGTCCAGGTTATAACGCCGAGGTTATCTCGGTTAGGCCGAGGTTATCTCCGAAGATATCGGAATCCGAGATAATTGGATAAGGCACAAGAGTCCTAGAATAAGGAAGGATTTTAGTGTGGATAAGGATAACACTCTTAGGGAGTTTATCTTTATCTCTGGAGAGTCCAGGATAAGCACTGAGCAGGAGTCCATTGAAGCTAGGCTTCTGTTGAGACAAGGATTGAGCTAAATATAAACGAAAGGCACCCCCGATGGGTCTAAGGTACGCAATTTATATTCTGAACAGTGAGTTTAGCACTATTGATTATCATTGAGAGATATACTGACTTGATCGTCGGAGTGCCCCTGGTGGACGAACCACTGCCGGAATCTTCTCTTTCTGTTGCAGGTCAGCCAGGTGTCATCTATTCTGCCAGTACTTTCCAGCTGAATATTAAGTTGGCAGTGTGATCGGAAAATCACTCACACAATTTGGCGCCGTCTGTGGGAAAGAAAGAAGAATAGATGGCCAGTGACAGACAGAAGGATAAGGTTGGGGACGAAATCCCTGCTGGGAGTGGAAAACACGTTGACCCAAACGTGGAGGAAGATGGTCGTAATGAGGAGACTCAGAACCAGAATCACGGCAAGAAAGACGTCGGCCAGAACGGCGACATACCAAAGAAACCAGATCAAAGCGGATACTACAACGAGGGCGACCTCCAGGTATGGAAGGATAGATGCCTGCGGAGGGACGAAGAAGTAAAAGAGATGGCGAACAAATTGGCGGACCTACAATCGGTCGTCAATTTCATGATGCAAAATAATGTCATGCAGCCACCATACCCGTTGCAGGACACGTCGATTCCAGCGACCAATGCCCAGAAGGGAGGGCAGAAGCCAATCCCAATAGCCCCTCAGCACACCAGAAGCGAAAAGCACTCTCACCGGCCTTCCAGGGAGGTTGGGCAAGGAGAGTCGAGGAAAGAAGAGTCACGAAGAACACATCGAACTAAAGAAGCAGACCCCAAAGAACATCGGCATGTTCAAAGACAGGAGCTTTGTTTCGACACAACTCATGGAGAAGGGTCAAAAAGGGCCCACAACGAAGCTGGAAGTATTATGTCGAAAAGACTAAAGTCGGGAGATAGCCGAGCTCCTGAGCGGAGCAAGGAAGACTTGAGAGATTACCTCAAGAGGAAACAACATAATACCGGTGTCGAAGTAACTTCACCTGTTAAGCCGAGAACACCATTCTCGGTAGAATTGGACAAATTTGAGGCACCGAAGAGATTCAGTATGCCGAGGTTCCAAATATACGATGGTAAGTCAGACCCCAACTTTCACGTTGGATTATACTTGAACTCAATGGCATTATATAGTGGGAACGAGCCGTTGCTTTGCAAAGTGTTCCCCTCATCCTTCAGGGAGATTGCATCAGATTGGTTTCACAAACTACCAAAGGGAAGTGTGAAGACTTGGGAAGGCTTGGCCGAGATGTTTGTGGCCAGGTTCGTGACAAATAAGCTGCAGCCATTAAGGGTGGACGCATTGATGGCTCTAAAGATCAGTAAGGATGAAGGCCTTAGGGCCTATGCAAAAAGGTACCATGAGGTGTTCAACCGGATACCAGAGTGTAATCAAGAGGTGGCGGTTGTATCTTTCAAGAACGGCCTAAAAGACGACTGTCCACTACGAAATTTTTTGGCAAAGACATTGCCAAAAAGTATGGAAGAGCTCATGGAAAGAATCGAGAAGTATGCCAGAGCCGAAGAAGATGCATCAGGGACCAAGGAGGCAAAGCAAGAAAAGGGAAATGGCTTGCCGAAATGAGGCCGAGGTAACAACGGATCCAACAAGCAAGAAATAGGACTGAGGGCTACACAGGCAGTTACGACTGTGTTCCGAATCCCAATTCACAAAGTCCTGGACAAAATTCGAAACCAATCCTATTTCAGAGCACCAGCTAGGGCACCAGGAGAGTTTATGGGAAGAAACCTTGGCAGACATTGTGCTTAC